GGAAAGAGACAGAGACAAAGAGGCACAGAGAGAGACTGTACAGCTAATGGAGTCTCAACATCATGATCCACCCCCAGCCTCAGTCAGCCCTGGACCATGTGCACATGTGTGTGTGGTGCATTCAGGGAAACCTCTGGATGCAAGTCCAAGGTGCGCCCTCACGTGAGTCAGCCTCCCACCACGTCATGCTCCACCGTTTCACCACCATCCAGCCCCCTTCGTTCAAATGTTGAGCCTAAAACATTTGTGGTAAGATTTTCCTCACGCTGTCCTCTGCCCTGCATGACCATAAAAGGTAGTGATGACCAAACACTATGCACCTAGTTTCATAAATATAACAGATACACACAGACAGACACACCTTCTCCACAGTTAAGTTTGGAATAGATTTTTTTTTTGAGAGATTTTTGCTAAAGGGCACATGTGCTCACCAGAAAGACAGAGAGAGACAGAGAGACAGAAAGCGAGAAATCACCCTCTAGGGGTGATGACCATGCCACAATCCCTTCTCCTCCATTCTCCTCTTAGGATCTTGGGCACGCACACACACACGCCTGAATCCCTCCAGGTCCGGGACACAAACCATAGTCGACTGCATGACAGTCCAGCAACATAGCCATTACCCCAACTAGTTGCTGGTCCCTGGAATGGATTTTTGAAACATACAAACATTCGTGAGCTCCAAAGTACAAGCACAGCAATAACCCCTTTTATAGATATTAGCTTATTGGATCTCCTCAAGAATGAATTATTTTAACTTCCACTGTGTAAAATGGATGCTATGGCTCAGGAAGATGAAGTGATTTTCACATCACTGCAGGCTGACATCACTGGGGGCTGAAGTTGTGGCACTGCAGTGCTTTAGAATGAATGAACAGATTGATTCATTACAGGATTCATGCTGTCATTCTGGCAAGTGAAGCGGACACACCATGGGCTTCCCTTGGCCTGAGAAGTGCTAACTGACCAGGACACTCCACAGCTCTCTCCCCTCATGCCACTACTTCCAGCCTTGAGAGCAGCTTACACGGCTGAGAAAAGGTGTCTCACAAATGTAGAGGAAGATCTAGACACACGTTGACAGACAATTCTCCCCAGGCTGCCTGTTCTATCAAAGAAAGGATAGAGATGAAATGTACCTAAGTTAACATTGCTCAGAGAACCACGAACGTCACCAACGCTGGAGAAGTTGGGCTAAGCAAGAGATCACATGAGTAGTGGCTGTAAGGAACTCTGGTGGAGGTTTGTCTGGGATCCAGAAATCAGAGGATAACAAAAGCAGCTGCTACAACACAGCTGGACTAAGTCCAGACAGAGCTGACCCAGAGGTTTGGTCTATAGGGAGGTATCTTTCTCTTCAGGCAAATCTGTTCATGTATATAAAGCAGCAGACAGCAAAGAGAAGGTAGGTCCCCTGGCCCCAAACACCATTTCCTTCTAGCATGTGAATGTTCCTACTGGACTGTTTGAATATATTTGCCTGTAAAAATGAAATCTTTAGAAGACAAGGCAATAGAGCAAGTTAAAGAGTCCTGATTACTGACTTGCCTTAAGTAAGTTACTAAAAAATATCAGAATGGAGGGATCAGCAGTTAGTGTAATGGCTATGTCGCTGGACTCCCATGTAGTCGACCGTGGTTCAAGTCCCAGACCCAGTGGCTTAAAACTCACACCAGGCGCGTGTGCGTGTGTGCCCAAGATCCCAAGAGGAGAATGGAGGAGAAAGGATTGCAGCATGGCCATCCCCCCTGGGGGGTGATTTCTCGCTTTCTATCTCTCTATCTCTCTCTGTCTGTCTGGTGAGCGCATGCGCCCTATAGCAAAAAACACTCAAAAAGAGAAAGAAAAAAAATATATATATATATCATAATGGAACATGATGGTAGGAAAGCGAACATCTACTCTCCTGGAATACTCAGCTGAAGATGTCACATCCTTGAGGATTCCTTCTCTGAGCCCCAAGATTAGATTGAGACTCCTTGCTCTCTAGTTCCTTGGGCTTCACTTTTGTAAAATTCATTACAGTTTTAATTAAATAAGCATTTGGTTAAGGCTGAACTCTAAACTCACTGGAAAGAGAGACGAGGCTGGCCTTGCCAGTTGCTTATTTCCTCTGAAGCAAAACAGAAGTAAGCACCCCATAGGCAGTCCACCAGTATGGGACTGTCAAACAGATGAAAAACTAATGTTTCCAAGCCTCTGTGAACATGGTTTCTCATTTATCAGATCTCTTCTCTTTTTTTGAGAGATTTTTGTTACAGGACGCATGCGCTCACCAGAGAGACAGAAAGTGAGAAATCACCCCCAGGAAGGATGGACACACCACGATGCCCTCTACCCTCCTGCTGGGATCTGGGTATGAACACACATGCGCTGGCATGAATTTCAAGCCATCTGGTCCAGGATTTGAACCATGGTTGGCCACGTGGGAGCCCAGCACCTTAGCCACCGAGCCACCTGCTGGCCCCTCAGATCTCTTCTAAGGGGTGATATAAAGCTTCTAAGTTATTTCCACTTGAAATCACCTTTAACTGGTTCCCAAATGTTCTTCTGGAAATAAATGTAAGATTTAAGACTAAATGTATTTTTTTAAAATCACCTACTGAATGAGGCCCAGCTTGACCACCTAACTCACTGACAAAATGTAATTTGAGAGGCAGAACAGTGACGCAGCAGTAAACTGTGACACTCTGGGAAGCTGATCCAGACAGGAAGGTTCTAGGTTCATGTCCAGATAACTCACTGAGTACACTGGACACACATGTGCCCATGATCCAGACATGGCTGAGGGTAGATCACGGTGTCAAGACCCTACTGGGGGTGCCGACACGGTCTCTACCTGCCTCATAGAAAGAAATATACTTGTTTTAAAAATGTATTCTGAATGCTCCTCCGTCCCCTGCCTCCTTTCTACAGCCCCCTCTCTTAGACAGTCATCTCCAATTCCCAAATCCTTTTTATATTCTCTTAATTCTATTTCCTAGCCATCCATCTTTTTCTGTTCATTCCTGTTATTAACAACCCAGTTCAGGCTCCAATCAGCTAGATGGCTATAATATCCTCTTAAATGGCATCTCTCTGTATCCAATTTGTCCTCAATCAAATCTAAACAGCAGTATCTGCACCAGTTTTCCGTGTGTGTTATTAGGTCATGGGGAAAATGACAGATTTTTACATAGGAAAATACAGAAAATGCATCAAGACTTTTCCGACAACCCAATAGGTTTGGTCCTTGGACACAATGCTTAACCTATCTGCATCTCAATTTCCTTATCAGTAAACTGGATCAATGACAGGTATTTTTTTTTTAATTGCCAGAGGGAGCATGAGAGAGAACTGC